TTTTTATCTGTTTGTCACATGGGTAGAATCATTTAAGATGCTCTTGTTCTATTAATAGTCAAACGAAATTTTTTTAGATCGCAACAGGGTTACTTTCCCTATCTAAGAGTCGGTGAGTTTTCAGTCTAATTCACTAAAACAGAGTTTGAATATATAGTGTTGTTAGTACTTTTGAGATAGAGTTTGAATTGCAAACTAAAATACTTTTTTTAGTATTTCTTCTTACCTTTGCTATATTTTCTCTTGGATCCAACAAGTTTCATATTTGTAGGAGCCATTCATATGAATTCCAAGGCTAGAAATGCAGTTTGAAAAAAACACATTAAAAACGAAAGGAATCTAAACTTTTATCGAATTTCAAGAAGCTAAAACTCTTTTTAAGACCGCAGTGTAGGTCCTTAAGTTGAAGCCTCAAGTTTTTGCTGCCACTTTTTTCGTTTGGTCTAAAACCGAGGAAAACTCTCTTCTATTCAGTTAACAAAAGACAGGAAGGACAGTCCAAGTGAAATCTACAAACAACTTTTTCTGTCTCAGTCTTTGAGAATTATAGTAAAAGGAGTTACTAGTCTTTTTTCAACAGACTAGAAAGACAACATAGCAGACACTTGAAGAATGTTTTGAGATATTCTTCGGTAAACACTTTACGAAGTATTTGGACAAGAAAGGATATTTTTCATTTTAGTTGTATTCAACATGTATGTATGTATAGTCTATTCATTTTGAATCATTGCTACAACTCTGCAATATCGCAAATTGACACCAAAAATAGCCTTCAAATGAAAAGCTTTTAGTTTTGAATTGTGTTTAAAGGTATCTCCGAAATATTTGAAAGATTGCACTGGTGTATTAACCGAGTCATTCTCCTGCACACAAGTGCATATCATCAATATCCAATTTCTGTAGGAGTCAACAACTCCTGTTTCTTTCTCCTCTGAAAATACTTGCAGACAATAGTGATATTTGATACTGTGGATTCTGCTAAGAGAAAACTTATTTTCAAAAAAGTTCAATTCAGTCCAACTGAGTCAATCCTATCGATTCTCTTCTCGCTTTTCATCATAGCATTTAAATCATAGTTGAATTGTCTCTTCCATATAGTCGACTATATAGTTGAGATGTTTTTGAAGGTAAACATGACTGTTTAGGTTTAAAGGTTTTCACTGCCTTCTCTTGTACCATCAACTTTGAACTTTGTAAAAACCACAAATTGTGAACATATATAAGAAAGCAAACTATATAAAACACAAAGCTGCTTTAGGGCATGGATAACTCCAAGGGAACTCTTATTTCTTCCAGTACGAAGAAAACAAAACTTTTAAAAGCTCTGCAAATTCAAGGAAAGATTTGTTTAGCTCCACTTGTCTCCTACTCTTTTCCCACTCTCTCAAACATCAGCTCCTTGAATAAGTGAGTCATAATACAAAAGTCATTCGCGTTAGACACTAGGCAGAAGACTCTCGCGAAATAGAAACAGATGGATACACTAGTGGAGGCTTCTTTTTAGATATTTATAACAAGAATCAAAGACAACTCAAAGTTTTGTATAAACAAACTGTCTATATATACAAGAAACGTTCATTTCCATCAGGAACAAGTCAAACATAAAGAAGAAAAGAAACAGTTTTATCCAAATTGCTCAAAAAAGAAGGAAAATGCCTCTTCCAACTTTGTATTATTCAGCAGAATAAAATTGTGCAAAGGTCTTGTTCTTTTAAATATACTGGATAAATTTCGTCTCCTAGCGAAAAGAAAAGAATATAAACGTAGAAATAATGGAAAAATAAGAATCTTTCATTCTCCTCTTTGCAAAGTAATAAAGAAAGGTGAATCTTGAAATATATGTGCAAGGAGAAGCGAAAGCATCACCACTTTTACTGTTGTCATACTAGTCAAAACTCTCAAAAAGTTCTTACGTGGATAACGAACCAATAGCCTTGAAACGTTTGAGGTTCGATCCTCCTTATCGTAAGAATAGTTTGTGTACGTATTTGTATTTAGACAAAAGAAATCAAACCTTTGGCAATTTTTTGTTGTAGCCTTGTCCTCTCTATACTTTCCAATTCTACGGTTGAGTATACGATTTAGTCTTCTTTATAACTCGTAATCGAACAAAGATTGCTCCTTGAGCGTAATTTGCATAGAAGGAAAGATTATAGCTCTCACAACGCAAGCCAAACAGAGTAAATGTCATTGAAATTGGAAAATGACCATTTTACACCTTTAAGGAGCTTTCCTTAATTTTGAGTGACCAACAAAGAAAGGTTCTCAGATCGAGAACGAGTCAAAAACTGGTTGTAGCAAAACCCGTTCTTGATTTGTTATCAAAATAGGGTCACAAGTAGTTTGAAATTTACCTTGCAGAGACAAGATTGATCAAACTCAACTCTGTTAAAAGGCTACAGTGTCGCTAGGGAGTTGAAAGGACCTTTGATACGACACTGTTCTTCTCGTTTCACAACAATACTGAGATGTGAGATTGATTGTATCTAGCACACATATTGTTCCAGAAACTTTTTACATATCTCCAAGTGGAATATTTTCTTTCATAAAACTCAATAGTCACTCAAAATAATATATCTCCAGTGAAAGGAGACAATACAAAGCGATCCTTCTCATAACAATCCAATTAGAAATTCATCACAATGGTTTGATTGTTGGATGGAAAGGAAGGCTCAGTGAGTGTTGTCAAGGCTGTGGACCTGGTTCAACTTTGCTAGTGAAACTTCTCAGACTTTAATTTCTAAAACGAATTCTTCGTTCGTTTTAGTTGGACAAGTGATTTTCTATTATCTACGTTTCTTTTTTAAGCTCTGCAAATGTTTCTTCTAGAACAATCCATCGATTCCCGTGCTCTGAGTTCCAAGTAGACTGTAGTTTCTTTTTAGTATTTACAACTTTTATTATCTCTTTGGAGTTTATATACTTTATACAACACTTGTTGTTATTTCACTTCTGGTCTTGTATGGAAATTTGAGATTAGCGTTGTCGAGAAGAGAGCAAAGACAAAGGAGTTTAAGCTGTCGTTGAGTGTTGGTACTTTAGTCAATTAGTTGTCTCACAAGTTTGTTTTTTTCTATCGATAATTGTTTCAGAGCAGTTTTGCGTATTTATTAGCAGTTGATAGTCTAGTCTTGTAGTCTGTTTTTGAGAAACAGTCTTTGGGTTGATATTTCCAAGATATTCTGCAAGAACAAGAAACCAGTCAGACACTCAGTTGAGTGTTTTGGTCAGTTCACAGATTAAATTTTTGTATGTTAGTTTTTTGTCTTCTATATGACTCTTTTCAAGATGGAGAAATCGGTCTGTAACTCTGCAACAGGCATTTCTCAGGATAGCATAGGAAAGTCTTGAGTCCATCATTGCTTATTTTCAATGATTGTTTGTATTGTTGTGCTTTTAGATCAATTCTCTATTGATTCGAATATGTCTTTTGAAATATTACGGATAGAGGGCTTTAGATAACGAAAGCTGAATAAACTTGTATTTTGAAAGCAAGGGAAAAGTTTTCAGTTCAAAGTATACTCAACTTGTTGGGAACTATGAAACAAAGCAAGCAAAAGGACACTGTTGGAAATCTTGGTTGTGTCCACCTGGTAAAATGTTTTGACGATGGCGACTGTAGCTACTAGTCCGTTTTGAGAAACGCCTTTGTTTTTATGAATTACTGGTTTTACCGAGGATGAAATATGTCTAAAACGATATGTAAGTAGTAAGAGTGATAAAGTTGGAACTAGTATCGATAGTGTTTCTGAAAGGCATCGATTGCAAATCGTCTTTGGTCCTTATATAGTTGAAAAGAAGGGTAACAGTAGTAGGAAGGTATGAATGGGAAACAAGGCGACTTGTATGAAACAGTACTTGCCGTGCCAAGAGTGCTGCTGAACTGTTTTTTTCCAACACACTGAAAGTCATTCTGTTCAAGGTAGTGGTAGTTGTAGCTTTCAAAAAGTGAAAAGGAAACTTCACATTTTGTGCAAACAGCTTGCGTTTGGATGGTATACAAAGTAGCTCTCAAAGAAACTCACGAAGGATGGGTTGAACTTCAACAATATTACACAAGTGCACACATTGATATCATCGTGTTCGACTAGAGTTTTGGTTTAACTCTGAAGATAAAGTGCAACTTTTGGTATATAATTCCTAGAAAGCATACGCAAACGAACAAATTGGTTTGCACATTGACACGAACCTAAAGCATTTTTCTATTATCGCAGCAAAATCAAACCATTCGCCACTACTTGAAATTCAACCAGAACAGCAACAACAACAAATATGAGCCCAAGCCTAGTACAGTATGGCATAGTCATCAATTCTACAAAGAGAATGATTCCTGCTTCTATCTTTTACTGTTTTCTTCGTTGTTGGCATGAGCGGAAAAGTGTCATTGTTTTAGTTACTTGGAATTGTAAACAACAACAACAACAACAATTGAAAGTTATACTGTACTACTGAGTGGTACATGGAATATTAATTATAGTTTTCGTCATAAAAGTACGAATTTGACCTATTTTTTACCATAAAGGAAAATTGTATTGTTGACTCTACAAAAGAAAAGGGCATTATTTGCACACTTACGACTATTTCTGCACATTACTATCAGTAGAACTACATACGGTCCTGATTTTGAACAACAAATAGAGTATCGAGTTACTTTTACTGGTCGATTTTCGACTTTGCTTGTACCTGTTTGAGACAAATCTTTATCTTGTGATTTTTGAAACGAACTTATTTGTTATCTCATGATAGTATGATGAAACAACTAGTCGTCATTTTTTTTTCCGAAAACGTCGACGTAGAAACTTTTCAGATGCTTTTTTCATTGGAAATCCCGATCACAAAGAATCTCTTTGTCCCGTGATAGTTGTGTTGCATTTGTAGGGATGGGTAACTCCAAGTGATCAAATCAAGACAATTTCGTCAGTTGAATCAAGTAATCTTTGACAAGTGAACTTGCAGTATCATGAGAGTGTACAACATACTGTTTTCTGTGATCTTGAATCTACTTCTGATTTATCTTGATATATTGTATTGTTCTTATGTCGAAACTACACCTTTTGACTATTTATGCTTCAGAACAATTCCATCTTACTTGTTCGACCCTAAGACCAGCTTCATATGAAGTAGTCATCTAGTCGATAAGGATAAGATAATATCTCTATTTCGTCTTTTCTCTTCTTTATCGGTGTAATTGTAGAATGGTGAACATCGTGTTCTTTAGAGTTGTAACATGTTGTGAAAACAGTTGAATGCTCATTGTACAAGAAAAGGGATGAAAATGATACAAAGTAGTATTCAAAGACTGCGGGATGATGTAAATTCAAAGAAAGAATCAACTAGATTGCAGTCAAAGTTCTATACAAACGATCTATTGGGAATAGAAATTGAACTCGTCCTAGTACGA